CGACGGCGGAGAGGACGGCTATTGCTGCGGTGGTTAATGCCGTCCTCTTCCGCTGCCAGATGGCGAGCAATGACGCGAACTTCAAAGCGGCTGTTCGTGCACGGTGCAAGCTGTTGGCGCTTCCGACGACTGGGCGGTGCTTGGATGTGGCTGCCATTTCCGACGCGGTGCTGGAGGTCTGCTACGCGATGGGGTGCGGGGGGTTTCCAAGGGCGACTCCACGGTGGTGGGTGAAGCGGCGAACGGGCGGCACGTGGGAGGATCTGCGGCAATGTGATGACGCAACGGATGATTACTTCAAGGAGAAGCTTCGAACGTCGCCTCGTGTTTTCCACGAGATCGCGGAGACTTTTTCCCCACTCCTTCAACTCCGTGTGACGTTCTACAGGGTGCCTTTGCAGCCAGACCACATCATTGCGTATGCACTGTACAGGTGGGCCACGGGGGAGACGTACGACAGCGGGAAGTGTAGCTTCGGCATCGGGAGGGCTTCCGGCATCACGGCGGTGCGTGATGTGACGGCGGCGTTGCTGACTGCTTACCCCGACAAGATATCATGGCCCAGAGGTTTGCAGAAGGCGGTCGTGTTCCGCGCCTTCGCTGACAAGGGGTTTCCAAACTGCCATGGGTGCATCGACTGCACACATATCTACATCGACAAACCCGCGAACGCCAACGGTGAGGACTACTGCGACAGGAGACGTCGATTCTCCGTGCAGGCGCAAGTGGTGGTCGACATGAACTTGCGTGTGCTGGACGTCTTCGTCGGTTATCCGGGGAGTGTGCATGACATGAGGATGCTGAACCTGTCGAGTTTGTGGGTGCGCGCGGAGTCAGGACAACTTTTCACTGGGCCGCATGTGATGCTGCCTTTCGGTGTGCGGACTAATGGCTACTTGCTCGGTGACAACGGTTATCCGCAGTCGGAATGGATAGTCGTCCCTTACGGCAGTCTCCCTCAACACCCGACGGAGGCACGCTTCGACAACAAACAGAAGACGGCCAGGGGAGCAGTGGAGAGGGCGTTTGGCAGACTGAAAATGGAGGTTGTTCCTCCGCACCCACAAGTGCAACATGGACAGCTTGCCACAACAATTCATCGCCGTCTGCATCCTCCACAACATACTCATCGACGCCGGCGTCCCGTTTGACGACAATCTGTTGTGGGAGGTGGGTCCAGACGGCGTGCGTCGTAGAGTGGATCTGGGGATGCATCAGCCATTGAGGCCAGTGTGCATGGAGTCTTCGACGGGGGATGCGCTGATATTGAGGGACGCGTTGGCGGAGCAGATGATTGCGCAGTGAGGTTGGCCGTGTTCGCAGTTGGAGACCCCACCATGAATGGAACGAGTCTGAGGGACAAAGCTGTCAGAAGCGGGGGAGCACGGAGGAGATCCGGTGGCGGGAGGAAGGGGAGGTGGCCGTCCCACAGCAAGAGGCGGTCGACGATGGCAGTCCGGCCGTGGTAGCTAGTTCGAGCGAGATGTGTCCGGCGTGTCTCGCGTGGTCGGTGCGGTTAGTTGTCCAGTGTTGAGTGGCGACGACTGGCTTATGTACGCTGTCACTTGGTTTTTAGTTTTTTTGTTTTGTTTGTTTT